AATTTGCGAGAACGGGTTGGTAGTATACACGAGGCCCGGACACACGGATACATACATAGCTGTGTAGTATGTGTCCAAGATGAAGAACCTTCATGACTCGACTCTGTCTCTCTATCTTAGTTATGTCTGTCTGTCTCTCTCTCTCTCTCTCTCTCTCTCTCTCTCTCTCTCTCTCTCTCTCTCTCTCTCTCTCTCTCTCTCTCTCACTCTCTCTCTCTCTCTAACTCGGTCTCAATCTAAAGAAAAACTGATATTTTCCCTTGAGTTTAGTTTCATTTTCCTGTTGTTCCACTAAGTTAAGTTGTCAAGTGATTAAGTCATTAATCACTAAGTCATTAACATTAGTCATTAACACATTAACACAAGTCATTAACACATCACATTAGTCATTAACTAAGTCATTAAGTTGCCAGTGAACAAAAACAAGGGGGGGAGGGGAGATGGGAAAGGGGGGGGTGGGGAGGTGAGAGGGGGTTCTATGCTGCCTTTTCTGTCAAAGGATCCAATTCTGTGTGTCACCACGATTTCATCTATCGACAGTTCAGCCTCGAAGCTCTTCTAAATTCCATTCCTTTCAAAGAGTCGGATATTTCCTATTTCAATATCATTTCCATTTCAGTCACTGCTTCAATATCACTGGTCAAGATTGTGCATGATTCTTTGTCCGTTGGGTACCCTTATATCGCCTTGAATCGTCTCGTTATAGGACCTTCTTGTGTTTTCACACTCGATATATTCAACCTGTCAAGTTATTCCTTATGTGTTTTTCATCTTACTTAATCTTTTCACCCCTCCCTCTTCTTGGTACTGAATCTCTTCTTACTGAATCTCTTCCTACTGAATCTCTTCCTACTGAATCTCTTCCTACTGAATCTCTTCCTACTGAATCTCTTCCTACTGAATCTCTTCCTACTGAATCTCTTCCTACTGAATCTCTTCCTACTGAATCTCTTCCTACTGAATCTCTTCCTACTGAGTCTCTTCCTACTGAGTCTCTTCTTACTGAATCTCTTCCTACTGAATCTCTTCCTACTGAATCTCTTCCTACTGAATCTCTTCCTACTGAATCTCTTCCTACTGAATCTCTTCCTACTGAGTCTCTTCTTACTGAGTCTCTTCTTACTGAATCTCTTCCTGGAGCTCCTCTTATCTTAGACCTCTTCTCATTCTGGACCTTCTGGAAGAGGAGGATAATAAAGGAAGGAAATATGACGATAAGACGATGCGAGAAGAGAGAATAATGATGCAAAGGAAAAGGGGATTTCATGTATTATAGAAATGGGAATAGGGAATTGATCTTGAGTCCGTGTGTGAATGTGACAATCACTGGCATTGAATAAACACATAACAATACACACCTCTCTTCCTCATCATGTTAAATATATTAACAATCGACTTGAGAATGGTCCAGGACGGACCGAAACGTCGTCGTCCCTTCACTTTCTAGTGTGTGAGGTTTGATCAACAACAATCCAACACAATCTCCTCTCCCACCTTTCCCACCCCACTCCGTCCCCGAAATTTCCCACGCTATCATGGAGTGTTTTTCCCCTCACGTTGACTAATGATATCGCTGCAGCCTCTTGGGCAAAAATAGCAGACGCTGTTAGCGGTGGGATGGAATAGCAGCCGTCCTTTCCTGACGCCACTAATGGTGGGCTGGAGGGACAGAGGAGAGATGGAGACGTCAGCTAATGTCAGCAGATGAAGGAGAGTTCCATCCTGTCAGAAAGAGGGAGGTATTTGAATGGTAGGGAGGGAAATAGAGAGCATTATTTTTTTAGTGTGAGGTCACTGGAGGAAGACAAAATGCCTAATATATCATCAATTATATGTTTAGAATAGAATTAGAATTTGGTTTAGAATTGGTACAGTAAATCTTTATGTATTGTGGATAGGTTACAGCAGATACCTGCATGGGATAGGGGATGAACTATCAGGGGGAAAGCGTCAAGTCATTACGACTATATTGCACTGGGAAGGGGGTCAGGATAAGGATTTGGGATGGGACGAGGGGAAAGGAATGGTGCCCAATTACTTGTGGACGGTCGGGGATTGAACCCAGGCCGCGCATCTTACCTGATCTTTGGTTGAAGCAACCTTAATACTTCAATTGATGTTTATCTTTGATATATATCACATTAGTGTGATTTCTTTGTGTATTTGAAGCTGGAGAACGATCTTACTTACCCTTGAGAGCTTCGGTAAGACTTATAAGTAAGATTTATATGACTTACAAGTAAGACTTGAACTAGCTTCACTACAAGCCGCCAGACTTCCCGTGTACGAAAGGGGGGCTGTTTCAGACCGTCCTGAACCATTGATAAGTCGTATATAAGCCTGATAATGCTTAGCTCAGTCGATTAAGACAGCGTCTGGGATGATCTCGGACGCAGGTTCGAATCCTCGTCACGGCCCTTGTGGATTTGTTCATTTAATCCTGATAATGGTCCGGGAGGGACCGAAATGTCATCTTGTCTGTCCTTGAGTTTCAGACTTGTAGTTTGTGTGTCTATACTTTTCAACCTCGTTATTGTCACTTTGTCTCGGCAAGAAAGAACATTCGTTATCTTTAAGATTTACGAGGAGATTTAAGATTTTTTTTTTTTAATTCACAATTAAAGTTCTCATCTTTTATCGGTGCCTCTACACCAAATTTTTCTACGCGTAGAAAATTTCTAGTATGTAGAAATTTTGTTCATATTTTCGTATCAATTTAACTGCATTTCAAATGTCTGTTTGTACCAATATATTTGCAAATGATTTTCTCAAAAGAATTATTTTTGACATGTTGCTTGGAGCTATGAGGTTTCCTCATATTTATATATATATATATGTATATATATATATATATATATATATATATATATATATATATATATATATATATATATATATATATATGTGTGTGTGTGTGTGTGTGTGTGTGTGTGTGTGTGTGTGTGTGTGTGTGTGTGTGTGTGTGAGTGTGTGTGAGTGTGTGTGTGTGTGTGTGTGTGCCTCAACTCTCTCACCACACAAACGAAATCTATTTATCTCGACTTATATTAAGTAAAGTGTATACATACAGAAGTACACACACACACACACCGATAGACACCCCCACCGTGATCACCATATACTCTCCACACTCGAGGACACATAATACATAACAGTGTCCTGTATCGCTTATCGGGCTCGGTACAACTACCATTCCTTTCGAGAGTCGAATTTATCACCAGGCGAACCTAAACTCCAAATATATATCTTCCTGCACAAAGCTAATTGTAAATTTGTGTGCGTCTAACGACTCTCTCTCTCTCTCTCTCTCTCTCTCTCTCTCTCTCTCTCTCTCTCTCTCTCTCTCTCTCTCTCTCTCTCTCTCTCTCTCTCTCTCTCTTCACGTGTTCCTAAACAAATATACATTTCCAACAACAAATACACATTTACTCATATAAATAAATTGCTCCCCCTGTTGAATTATTCTCCATATCTGTCGCCAATTGAGAGAGTTCAGTTGTAGCCAAAGGCGACTCCAGGCCTTTACCATTGGCGACTGATGTCCTCAAATTGCTTTCCAATCTCTGACCCGAGACGAAGAGGCGGTCATTATGGTTGAGTACCCCCTCAGTCTCCCTAATCTCACTGGGTGCCAGACCAAATACAGTCACGGAGGAAAAAAGGAGAAAGAAAACGGGAGAAAAACAAAATGCAGACGCTGTTTTCACTTTGTGAAAACCCAATTTTTGGTCGTAGTGGAAATATAAGGCAAAAGTATTTAATCGCCTCTTAAGAAGAAGTTGCTGAAACGCTGTCGGCTGTTTTCTAGTTGTTGATTGATTAATTAACAACCAATTAACACATAAATTACATTCTAAACTACTTCAAGACCCCGAGCCAACACAGAGACAGGATCCACAAGAACATAAGCTGCTTATGTATCAACATGTAATACAATAGTAATATTCCCACTTATGTTATGTCATTCATCCACTTGTTTCATCCATTTGTTCTGTACCATCTCACCCAAAGCCTTTGTGTAAAAGTTTGATAAATTAGTCTTTGAGAATGTAATGAGTGACCTTCCGAAACGCATCTTCCAGGCGTCAGGATATAATAAAAAATATGAAAATGACCTTTGGAGAGTTAATTGTTCTACTTCTCTCGACAGTCAAGAAAAACATTAGAAATATTGGGAAAATACGTGTTAGAATAATTAATCTTACCCTTTCGGTCATATATATATATATATATATATATATATATATATATATATATATATATATATATATATATATATATATGTCGTACCTAGTACCCAGAACGCACTTTTTGGCCTACTATGCAAGGCCCGATTTGCCTAATAAGCCAAGTTTTCCTGAATTAATATATTTTCTCTATTTTTTTTTCTTATGAAATGATAAAGCTACCCATTTCATTATGTATGAGGTCAATTTTTTTTATTGGAGTTAATATTAACGTAGATATATGACCGAACCTAACCAACCCTACCTAACCTATCTTTATAGGTTAGGTTAGGTTAGGTAGCCGAAAAAGTTAGGTTAGGTTAGGTTAGATAGATGAAAAACAATTAATTCATGAAAACTTGGCTTATTAGGCAAATCGGGCCTTGCATAGTAGGCTGAGAAGTGTGTTCTGGCTACTAGGTACGATATATATATATATATATATATATATATATATATATATATATATATATATATATATATATATATATATATATATATATATATAACAGACCTACCAACAACTAGGAACTTATACCCCCACTTAACTGAGGGATGAGAGATGGGATCCAAGAGCTAAAGCCCAAGCCCTTAACAGCTTGGGCAATATACACAGCTTGGAAACACAATAAGCCTAACACCATCACGGTCGCCCCAAGCTTACATCCTATCTCCAAACCTACAAAAAAAAATTAAATGACTTCGCAAAGCTGCAAGAGCCCTTGACCACTGGGGGATTGGCCCGTCCTTTGAGTGGTTGTTCTCGTGTTGTACCTGCTCTGAGAATACAGCAGGACTGTATTCGTGTTGTTCCTGCTCTGAGAATACAGCAGGACTGTATTCGTGTTGTTCCTGCTCTGAGAATACAGCAGGACTGTATTCGTGTTGTTCCTGCTCTGAGAATACAGCAGGACTGTACTGGTGTAGTTCCTGCTCTGAGAATACAGCAGGACTGTATTCGTGTTGTTCCTGCTCTGAGAATACAGCAGGACTGTATTCGTGTTGTTCCTGCTCTGAGAATACAGCAGGACTGTACTGGTGTAGTTCCTGCTCTGAGAATACAGCAGGACTGTATTCGTGTTGTTCCTGCTCTGAGAATACAGCAGGACTGTACTGGTGTAGTTCCTGCTCTGAGAATACAGCAGGACTGTATTCGTGTTGTTCCTGCTCTGAGAATACAGCAGGACTGTATTCGTGTTGTTCCTGCTCTGAGAATACAGCAGGACTGTACTCGTATTATTCCAGCTTTGAGAATACAACAGCACTGTATTCTTGCTGTATCAGCTCCGTTATATCACGCGACAAATTGGTTATTGGGACTCACCTAGTTGTGCTTGAAGGGGGTTGAGCTCTGGCTCTTTGGTCCCGCCTTACATGGTAACCATTCAAGCACCAGACTATAGCCCTGGAAACACAAACCGAAACTGTCTCTATTTTCCGCTTGTTACAACTTGTAATAAAGTTGTTACATCTTGGCTTAACGTGTTTATGACGCATTAGAACGTTGTTACAACTTGATATATTGGTTGTTATAACTGGTTAGGAGGTGTTAAAACTTGTTCGAACGTTGCACCAACGTCGTAGTTTCGGTGTGTGTTTGGCGGGATATTGCTTCAGGGATCTATCTATCGCTTGGAGCGATAGATGGATAAGAAGGAAGAAAGGAAGAGGGAATTAGAGATGTTGGGAAGGATGTAGAGTGAGAGGAAGTAAAGAAGGAAGGGGAGGAATACATAGGGAAGGGATACATAAAAAGAGGAGCGAGAAATACATAAATAAAGTGAAGAGAATCAGCTTTGTAAGTCTCACAAGGTCATTCGACTGAAACCATCAATTATCTCAAGTATCACAGATTACAGATTACAGATATCACAGATTACAAAAAACAAAACTGTAACTAAAAATAACTGAATTTGTATCCAATAAACTTTTTCTTGAATTTTCATCCAAACTGGGTTTTTTCCTCTCTATTTCACCAACATTTTTATTTTCATACTGAAATTTTTTATTAATTTTTTTTGGTCTGTGTTTTAATTTATTTTATTTTGTCAAGATTTTTTTTTTATTTGCTTACAGTATATGTTAGAAGAACCTCTGTAGGATTATTTTTAATTGTTTATAATTGTTTTGATTATTTTAATTATTTTGAATTATTTGACAGGGGTAAAATTGATTGGAAAATTTGTAAACATGTGCCCATTGGCACCTCTCAATGGACACCTGTGTGATGGCAAACTGTTTACAGCTATTGTGTTATCTTCTGGTGTTGTGTTATCTACCGCTTTTTTGTTATCTACCGCTCTCGTGGTATAGGGTACGTACTGTCCTTTTTCCCATTACAAACACCATTACCTGTCTCTCTTTACACACACCTTCCACCGTCTCCCTCCTTGTGCTGTCATAACTGTCAATTCACGCTGTCAAAAATTCTGTCGCCTCCCTGCCCGCACATGACCTGGCTCGGGCACCTCTCTGCCCGCACATCACCTTCAATTTACTCCCTGCTTACATATGTCCTCCCTTCACCTGTCTCCTTGCCTTCATATGCTATTCCCCTCATCACTGTAACCTCTCCCTGACAGACAGAGAGACAGAGATAGACAGACACAGACAGGCAAATAGAATACCTATTGGCGCCCAAGGCTTTCTCTGTGTGTCTGTCTTCCTGGCTATATTTCTGCCTTTCTCTCTGTCAATTTGTTTGTCTGCTCTCTCTCTCTCTCTCTCTCTCTCTCTCTCTCTCTCTCTCTCTCTCTCTCTCTCTCTCTCTCTCTCTCTCTCTCTCTCTCTCTCTCTCTCTCTCCCTCTCTCACCGAACAAAATACACCTTCAATATTTACGTCGGTAGTTCTTTCCTCATCCTCACTGGGAACTGAGTCAACATGTCAATATTGACTTTCCTGTTGCCGTAAACAGTGAATGAATGGATCAGCTGACGGACTTGTGGGGCGGAAGCCCTCACCGGCCGCGTAAGTTATGACTGAATGAATCAGCTGTCAGACGCGTGATAAACAAAAATATTCCCGCGTAATTGTGTGAACTAATGAATGAATCAGCTGATGAGAGTATCAGCTGATACGTTGATGAGTATCAGCTGATGAGAGTAATCTGTGAATTGATCAGGTATCACTTGATTAATGCTCTGTGTGCATGCATCACTCTACGTAGGAGAGAATATTGATCAATCATCTCGTAGCTCGTAGAACAGCACCTCATAGTATAACATATTCATCAATAAGGTCGGATACCTACGGGCTCGCCATAGCCCGTGCTACTTGGAACTTTTTGTTCCAGGATCCAAAATACATGAACATGGTACAAAAAAACTTTTGAGGAAAAAAAAATATATATATATACACAAAAATATTAAGAATCTGAAAGTTTATCTTGAACAATAAAGTATTAAATAAACGATTAAGAAATAAGAAAATGTTATATAAATAGTGAAATGTGTATAACAGGAGAATAATGACATGATTTGAAGCTGGGCTGTCTCAGTATATATATATATATATATATATATATATATATATATATATATATATATATATATATATATATATATATATATATATATATTAGTATATTTTGGTAGCAGTCTTTCCTGTAGACATATATTATTAAATATGACCGAAAAAGTAAGATTAATAATTCTAACACGAATTTTCTCAATCTTTCGTACATTACGCTTCACTGTCGTAGGTAAATCAAAAATCACTTCTCCAAAATTCATTTTTATTTCTAGTTCTAGTCAAAATAAAAATGAATTTTGGAGAAGTGATTTTTGATTTACCTCCAACAGTGAAGCGTAATGTACGAAAGATTGAGAAAATTCGTGTTAGAATTATTAATCTTACTTTTTCGGTCATATTTAATAATATATATATATATATATATATATATATATATATATATATATATATATTATATATATATATATATATATATATATATATATATATATATATATATATGAGAATATTCTAGCGTTGGTTTTCCTTTTAGAAACGGATGAAGGAGCATCTTGTTACTGCTGCACTAACGAGGGATTTGACACGTGCACCAGGCCATTGGGGTAGACTGGTAGTTAGCTGAGAGAGAGAGTGTGTGTGTGTGTGAGTAACAAGCCTCACAGTAGCCACAGAACACTTTGTGGTGTGTTACCTCATATTTTGGTGTGGAAAACACACCCCCTCTCATATTTTTTTGTGAGTAGTCATTACCTGGACTATCTCTCGAGAGTCTATCTCTCTCTCTCTCTGTAGTGACAAGGGAAGAGGTCAGTAGGGTAAGCCTGTGAGGGGAGAGAGAGAGAGAGGGAGGGAGAGGGAGGGAGAGGGAGGGAGAGTGGGTAGCAACAGGAGGGGTA